AAAATATCATAATTTTTTACTTTTTATATAATTTTACTTCTACATTTTGAACACTGGCAGCTGATAACACATTGTGTCAACGAAAGGAACACTTTTTAGTTATGTTTTTGTTTTGATACTTTTCAATGTTTTTTAATACTAAGAAGATCTCAAAAAAAACAGTATAGAGGGTATCCCAAAAAGTTTTTTTATACAAATGGGAAAAAATTATTCTTATTAAAGATTTTCATCATTTTTAAATTCATAATTAAGTAATAAAGATGTAAAATATTGAGTAGTATACAAAGAAAATAAAAAATTGTCGTGAACGAAATTGTTTTAACGTAAAGCAGAATATTGATGATGACAGGAATTAAAAAATATTATCAAGTTTAAATCAGTGCACCTGTTTTTTAAAAGATTTCAATTAACTTAATATTCTAACAAATTTTGATGGTTGTTTATGGATTTCCAAGTGATGCAGAACTTTATCAGTTTTTTGTTAGTGAAATAGTGTAAGATTAGATAACTTTTTTTTTCATTTGTTTATAGTCATTTTACTAACAAACGCGAAAAGTGTCACTTTTCTACTCTAGACTTTTAATAAAATAACACGAACATTAAATCTACATATAAACCAAAACAAAAGTAACTTGTCCAGAAATTCAAATTAATCCTTATCTTCTTTGCGCAATATTAATTAAAGGTAATTACTTTCCTCATTAGTACTGAAGAGTTGATGGAAGAAATCACTTTTCCGCACTAGTACGGGAAATTATACGACTTTTTAAGTTTAAATGCATGTGGAAATGTTGCATTTTCCGCACGTTTGTAGAGAAATAGTAGTTTGTGCAACAAGAGTGGATATGATAGCTACTATATCGCACGAAGCCGAAGTTTGAGCACGATACCGTAGGCGGAGTGCTCAATCGTCTATGTGAGATACAGACAATCAACTCAAGTTGTTCAGTATATTTTTTCTACGACCCACTAACGAAAATCTAAAAATTTTTAAAATTGTTTTAGGTTATTAAGATAAAATAACTAATTTAAAAATAGTTTATGACTTTTATTATTGTATATAATATATTTATGTAATTTCCATATTAATAGTAAAATCGATTTAATGATTCAATTGTTAACAATAATATTTATTCTTAGATCCGAGATATTTATTTTTAACAAATTATTAAAATTATTTTAAATTAACCACATTATTTTTATGTTTTTTCCTGCTTCATGCGCACATTTGATTAGATAACACTGATAGGTCAGTTTATAGAGACCAACACGTTTAACTTTTTATCCCAGCATGTCGCGACCATGCCGCAAAGCGGGTTAAATTCCCAATTTCTTTTACTTTTTTGAAAAAATATGAAAATTGAATACATACGACTAATGTTGTTTACCTATTTTAAATACATTTTATTTATAATATAACCCCTACAGTTAATCTTTTCGCTATTTATTTTGTACTATTTGGATCAGGGTTAGGAAAAAAATTGTAAACATATAAGTGGTTAATCATCTTTAATAATAAAAAAGTTCTTGTTTACGCTAGTTTATCTTATTAATTGTTGTTGAAAAAAAATATTAACTAATAAAAAAACATCGTTTTATATAAATAAAAATTTCCTTTATTTAATCGGTCATTGTTTTTATTTTCAATCGTTTCGAAAATTTATATTTTTCCATCTTCAGGTGCACTCAAAATTTAAATTTTTTTTCAAAAAACACAAGGGGACGATTACAAAATTACAAAATTAAAATTTTTTTAAAAATAACGGAAACCCATCTTTCTCTTGTGAGCGTGAGCGTGTGAAGGTGTATTCGAAATAATATTAATTCGGTTTGACACGATAACGATAAAGTAGGGAAACAAGAAGATGATAAAGTTAAAAATTACCAGTAGCGTTACATTTATGGATTAGAAGCTTACAATTATTTAATAATATTAAAATAAACGTTTGACAAATCTTTTATGTCTGTTTTATTATTTACAGAGTTGTTATTTTTTTTTTATATGTATCATCTCAAGGATTGTTCTTTTGTTGAGATTGGGTTCATTTTCGAGAATTCTTACATTTTCAAAATCGAAAGAGTACAAATTTTCTAACGCATGTTTAGTTAGGGCAGTGGCATTTTCATTATTAGTTGCGATATTATTTTTATGGTTTTTTTATTCTTTTATGTAGATATTGTTTTATCATTGCAATCAATTTTATAGACAACGTTTGGTTGATTTATTTTACTAATTTTGGGCTTAAAATTAAAAAATAAATTTCCGAAACATATATAGTGCTAAACGATTGACAATAAAAACAATGACCGATTAAACCAAGGAAATTTTTATTTATATAAAATTCTACTACGGTCAGGGAATTATCAAATTATTGTTTTAACCTTTGTTGAAACTAATGTTATTTTCTTTATCATCCTATAAAGTTATTTGTAAATGGAATCACAACGAAAAATGATATCAACTTGAAATTTTTGACAAATATCAAGCTCTATAAGGAGACAAAACCCATATATTTTGAAAAAAAAAATTAATTTAAAATATGGGGCAACAAAGGTTGAAATTAAAAAAAAAACATAAATCAAAAAAACGAAAAGCGATATCAACATGATATTTTAAGTAAAAATCAAGCTATATAAAAAGATAAAGCCTACTAATTCTGAAAAATTTTTTAATAAAAATGGGGCGGTTGAAAGGAGGTTAAAATATTTAAAACTTTTAATTTTTAAAAAAAATAAAGCTCTATAAGGTGCGAATCTTACTGATTAAAAAAAAAATCTGAATAAAATGGAGTTTGAAGGGGGGTCAAATAAAAAAGAATAGAAATTAAAAACCAAAAGTGATATCAACACGAAATTTTTAGATAAAATCAAGATCTATAAGGGAATGAATCCTATTGATTCTTATTTGAATAAAAATGAAATTAAAAACGTTTAAATATTAAGAAAAAGCCTATAAACTCAAAAAGGAAAAATGATGTAAACTTAAAGTTTTTTTAGGAAAAATTAAGCTCTATAAGGAGACAAGGCTTATTGACTCAGAAACAAGAAACGGTATAAAATTGAATCTTTAGGAAACGCAAACTTTAAAAGGGGGTGAAGCCTATTGTTTCTAAAAAAATCTGTGAATAGTATAATATAGAATACTAAGCATTATATATCTTTATTTTAGTAATATAAATACGATCGTTTAGGAAAGTGACACCTATCGCACTATTTAGTCTTATGGAAAGTGCCATATTATATCACACGGATAAATCTACTTTCCACCCGTGTGAGAATATGCATCTACTTTCCGCATAAGCTGTCAAATTTGCCAGATGTCTATTTCTATTTTGATTGATGTAATATCCATTCTATTAGTAAAATCGATTTGATGATTAAATTGTTAACATTAATTTCTAAATATAGACCTTAGATATTTCTTTTTATAAAATAATTAAAAGAATTTTAATAAATACCTACATTATTTTTGATTTTTCCTGGTTTATATAATATTTAATTAGATAAGTCAAATGACAAAACTTCAATAGCGCAGATCGTATAGTGTCTAACTTTTTCAACCCGGCATTTCGCGACCATTTCGTCACGCTAGTTCAATTCACGATAAATTATTTTTTTTTTATTTAAAAAAAATGTGAAAATTGGAAAAATACGACTATTATTGTTCATTTATTTAAAATACATGTTATTTATAATAATATAACTCCTATAATTATTATTTTCGCTATTTATTTTGTAGTAATTTAATTACTGTTCAGAAAAAATTGTAAATAGAAAAGTGGGTGATCATTAATAATAAAAATGTTTTTGTTCACGGTTATTCAGCTTACTTAAAAAAAAATGAACTAATGAAAATCAATAATGAATTCCATTTTTTTGTACCTAATGTTATTTTATCTTTATCATCCTATAAATTGTTTGTAAATAGAATCACAATATTTTTAATTTTGACAAATCACTATCTGTAAAACGCATATAAAAAACAAATCAAAACCAGCCACATCTTGATAGAACCTTTATAGCCAGATTTCTTAGTATTAAATTTTTTTGATAAAATAATTTTGTGCTCGTAGGAAAAATATTGTATATTACTTATGTGAAACTGAGTTTTTACACTCGCGTGATTGTCGCACTCGGCTTATGCCTCATGCTTCCCACTATTGTGAAAAATGTTACTTTCCACACTCGAAATAATGTAATATACTATTTGACTATGTACATTAGGGTGGCGCAAAAAAAAACGACTATTTTTTTTGAATCTCGCACAAAAATATCTTAATTTATCATGTTTTAAGATCCCATCCAAAAGGGCAGCTGAAAAAAAATTTTTAGGGTCGAGATTTTTAAAAATTTAAAAATTAGTCAAAATTCAATTTATTAAATTATGCTTTCATTGTTGTGTTGGATTTTTTCCTGTCTCGTGATGAATTCTGATCTATTACCTTGCTACTTAAAAGCAAAAAATTAAATGAATTCTTAATAATAAGATTTAAGGTTCGCTCGATAACATCAAAAGCAATAATGTTGTATATAAAAAATTAAGGGCGACCGTTAAAAATTCCTATTTTGAGCTAAAAATTTGAGCACATTTTTTCTTTTATGGGGTACAAAATTCTACCGTCACGAGGAAAAAAATAAAAAAAAATCAAATTTTGACTAATTTTGAAATTTTGAAAAATCTTGAGCGATTCCTAAACAATTTTTTTGAGCTGCCTTTTGGGGGGGGGAGGATCTTAAAAAACGATAAATTAACATATTTTAGTACTAGATTAAAAAAAATAGACGGTTTTTTGCACCACCCTAAAGTACATTATAATAAATTTTATAGGGTTGTTTTTAAATTGTTGGTTCCTTTTTTACCTAAATAAGATATTTTTGATTATTTGTTTTTCTAAAAAAATATTTATGTTTTTTATAACGAGATCTCAAAAAAGAAAAGATTAAAAAAGCGCCAAAAAAAAAATAATTGAAAATGTATCGAATAATAAAGTCTTACTGACCAGCACGAAGAGGTAGTACCCCAACATATTCCACCAGCAGCAATCGGGGAAAGCACGAAGAAAAAAAAAATGAAAATTTCACGCACAACAAACTGCACTATCCGAATGTAAGGTATACAAACACTGACCGACCGGCTGATGAGAGACGCGAGCGCTCGATCTTTTCCGACACCACTTTTAAATGTAGTGTGTAGATTTCCAGTCCGGGCATAAACACAAACACAAACACAAACCAAGGCGCTCTTGATCCGGTGTGCGGCGGCTGCAACGTGGGCGTGCCCCGCCACTGGGCCCGGAGGTCGACTCACAATGCAAGGTTGTGCGTGTGATGCGTGCATCGCGATGTAGGGCAGGTTGAGTAAGGCGACAGGGGTTAGGGTTAAAGAGCACAAATACCACATTTTTGGTAAGAAAAAAAAATGTATAGTATACCTAAGTAGGAACAATAGTATATTAATACCCATTAATATTAATTTAAAGTAGAATCGAAAACGACACGGAGTAATATATCTGTCAGATCAGGATATTTCAAGTGTGAGTGCCTATATTGTTATTTAGGGGGTACATAAAATCATCATTTGAAAATTTTTTTTTTGAATATTTATTAATGAGTATTATTTCGGTATCTAGGTACTTTACAAAATTTTTTTTGAGTTATTTGCAATTGTTATGTAAATGGTAGAGTTAGTTATCTGTTTGAGTAAATTAACAAGGTATATAACAAATATTTTTCAAGACCTATACATTTGACTATTAAGGCAGGTACATATCTGAGCTCGTACGCGTATGAGGCAAGCCAAGGACGCATGAGCATGCAAATGTGGACAGGCTTCCGAGGCGCGGCAAATTGCTTCGTTGTGTGCGTCGTACAGTCTCGCCCTGATCCGTTTGTTAGCGGTACACCAAAGGGAGGTAATGCGCAGTACGTGCTCACTGCTCAGTCTGGACAGGGAATTTATACCATACAGTACCGTAGAGATTATCGCTAGTTTTTAGAATTTATTTTGCATGGAGTGGAACCAGGAAAACATTTTGCTTCTCCTAAATTTAAATAATCAACGTGATATCTTAAGAGAGCAAAACGCCAGTTCTATTACAACACCACAAAAAAAGAATATTCTTGGTAGGAAATCGGCCATCGATTCCATTCTCTACTTTTTTCTTTAATGTGTCGCATAAAATAATAAAACATGCACTTAACTCCGCGACGTCATTCTGATCCTTCATTTTTGTTTTAATTTTACGATTGTTCTGGGTACACGGTTGCGTGCTCGCAAATTTACTGGATCAGTGGCGAACAGCGCCTCGTGCGTCAACTATTTATGTATACAAAATGCGTCGCACGAGGCATTTGGTTCGGCATCGGCTTGCCTCATACGCGTACGTGCTCAGATCTGTACCCGCCTTTAGGTATACCTATTTTTGATGTCAAGGTGAAAGTAAATGACAAGTCTAGAGAAAGGTTTCAGCTTAGATTATAAAAAGTAATCTGAAGGTTCAAAATCTATAAATGTGACTATGTATTAATAATATAAATGGGATAAATCCTTAGATTATATAAATCTACAATCTATAGATTATTCGTTATTTTATTATCTTCTTGGAGATTACTAATGCCATGGAAAAACCAAAATGATAACAAGTGGGTGGGATTATAAGATGGTTACCTACCTAGAATTTGGTATGAAGATAAGATAGATAGTTGCAGTTAGTATCTTGATCAGTTCCCAATATTACCTACTCTGTTTGATTAGTCTTTTATATTATCTATTATAGTAAAAAGTTGTGGTTATTTTCGGTTAATAGTGACAGTAGCATTAAAATATCCAGTATGGCTCAAGTTCAAAGTTTACACCTGTGAAACGTATAAAAAAGTGTGTTTTGTCAATTAACGAAAAAATAGTTGTAAGCAATGTTTAAAATTTCCTAAGAATGGAAAATCCATCGTTTTCTGTTGACGATATTGTTGAAAAAACAAGTAATATGATGGATGTAAGCAAATCAACGATAGTATATAAAGTTATAAATGAATTAAAAAGTCGAGTTATTAAACCCACAAAAATGCAGGAAGTGAGAAAAAAGTGAAATTTACTGAACAAATTAAAAGCGGAGAAAGAAGAAAAGTTCACGAATTTTATTTAAAAGCAGATACCAACACTTGCCAAGGTTTTGGACGCAATCAAAAGTGATCCGTATTTTCCTGAAATGGAAAAGACAAAACTACAGAAACTCTTATAGATTTGAAGGTTAAGTGGGATAAACAGGACAGGAAAGCAGCACTTATTGATTCTAAGGAAATTCTTTGTTGGAGACGGAGATACCTCAGAATCATTTTGAAAACACGTGCAGAAGACAAAAAAATATTTTATTTGGACGAAACCTGGGTGAAAGAAAGTTTCACAAAATGTGGCAGGACACAAACATTCAATCTTCATACACTATTATTCGGGAATTTTTTTTTTTCTAAACTTGCTAGTTTTCTCTTTATATAAAAATCTGATGTGCCCAACACATGACTTTCCTATCTAGTTATTATAAGCTTTTTCCGGTTATTTTGTACAACCTATTGCACCACCTCTATAAATGTTTAAAGGATAAACTAAATATATACATTTTTGACATACATCTAACTCGAAACATTTTTCTATACTGAAAAATTTAAATTTGGCACTTTTCCTCCAATTTTTCCATTACTGTCCATTTTAGAAAAATCATGTAAAAAAGAGATCGATATCCCAAACAACTTTTAGTTTAACAATTTTCTTAAAAATCAGAATTTTACACATTTTGTCAAATTTCTCGAATACGGACCATTTTAGGAAAATTTGGCATAAAGCAAAAATTATAGATAATAATATTAGAAGTAACTTTTATTTATACAATTTTCTTCTTCAAACTAAAATAACAGATATATCCCATAAAATATAAAAATTACCTCCTATAAAGTACTCCCCAGATGTTCCGACTTTGTCCAAAATCCAATCAATTCACGTCAGGCTGAAATAAAACTTAAGTTTAAATTTTTTTTTTCCTTTTTCCGTTCTTGGTTTTCAAAATTCGTAATTTACTCATTTTCTCAAATATCTCGAATACGGTCCATTTTAAAAAAAAATTTGTTTGTGATAAAAATTATAGAAAATTATATTACAATATATTATATATTGTTTTAATAATTTCTATAAAAAATATTTTTTTACATTTTGTCAAATTGTAAGTAACTTTTATTAGAAGAATTTTCTTCACCAAACGTAAATAACAGATATATTCCATAAAATATAAAAATGACCTTATAAGTACCCCCCCAGATGTTTCGACTCTGCTTAAAATCTAATCAGTTCATTGAAGGCCAGAATAAAACTTAAGTTTAAAATTTGTGCAATACTGCCACCAACTTGCTTTCACTACCTTTATTTGCTTCCTACGCCGCATCTACCGAATTGAAACGAATGTTACAATAACTCATGTCTGTTGGATAATCTAAAAACTTTTTATTAAAATACTACGTGCTTACAGCGGATATTTTTCAAGTAAGTTCTGTATCACCTTTTTCAAAACACCTGCTCAATTTAATATGAATTTCAGTTTTCTTCCGGTTATTCTGCTTTGATCAGTAGGATATCTTTTACCAACTACATGTGGCGCTTAGGATATCCCAAGAAAAGATGTTTCCCCCATCAATTTATTGGCCAAGATACTTATTTTTATTTTTCTCCTAATTTCCTTACTTCCCTCTACACTCTTTTCCTTTTACTCTTATTTTCCCTATATTCCCTATCCTTTTTCCTTTTCTTTCTCTTCTACTCCCTATTTAATTCTCCCCCCTCCTTTATCTCTTTTCTGGTTCCTTGACCTTCTCTTTCGCCCTTTCTTTTTTCCACCGTAGACTGCTTTCACCATATCATACTTGTCTCAAATTTTGACTTGTTGAGCAAACACACAAGCCTCGGTACTATCACTGGTATCTAATTTTTTTATTGTGTTCAGCTCCTCTACTCTCACACCAATGTAACACACCACTCTCACTCTTTCCCTCTACATTCTTCCATTCTTCTGAACATAATAGCTCGTAGAACTGATCCCTGATAGTCTTTTAATTTATTACTTTATGAGGATATTTGAAATCGGTTCTATTTAGTACTACCCACCTTTCCCTCTCCCCTTTCTATAACTTGTGACAGGCTCCTGGTTCACCTTCAGTGAATCAGCGAGTCTGTGTGGCGCTATGAAGGTGATTCCCGAATAGGGGTTGCTCAGGCGCCAGTTTTGGTATCGCAGTTTGCTCTGCGACCCTGAAGTACACCAGAGTGTACTCAAGGTAAACTCAGTGGAGGTAAAAATAATTCCAGGCGGTCACTGCTAGGTATCCACTATACTAGAATAAATAAAAATAAAACACTTATCTTCTTTCTACCTCGTACCCTACGGTGCCCTGAAAGAGAACGGTTAAGAACCAGCAATAAGAGAAACACAGGAACAGGTAATAAAATATATACTCGTATTTACAAAAATAAAATAAATACAACTGTAATTATATAGGAACGGCTCCCTCCATTCGGAAAATCTATTGTTTAAAAATAAATTATTAAAATTGAAAAGTATTTAAATATTGATGGAACCCTATATCCGGAAAATTAAATAAAAATGAATTATTAAAGTTGAAAATTATTTAAATATTGACGGATCCCTATATTCGGAAAATTTAATAAAAATAAATTATTAAAGTTGAAAATATTTATGAAAAATAAATTATTATTATTATTGAAAATTATTTAAATATATAGAAATATTTATGGTTTATTATCAAAGGAGGCTAATCGGACTGGGAATCGTGAAATGCCCAGTATACGGAAAATGTATAAAAATAAATTATTATTATTGAAAATTATTTAAACATACAGAAATATTTATGGTTTATTAGCTCAGGAGGCTAATCGGACTGGGAATCGTGAAATGCCCAGTATACGGAAAATGTATGAAAATAAATTATTATTATTAAAAACAATTTAAATATGACGGTAATCAAATGCAAACAAATAAAATAAATAAACTCAAAACTGTCGGAGACCCCTTGTATCTTAATACCCAAGCGATGGAACGCAAAATTCTCGCCTATTGATAAATAAAGTTTATTTATACGGTGTTTTGAATCGGCGACCACGGCGATCGTAGAAAATAATATTTACGAATTTTGCCCAGCGTCTATCGAG